TTGCCGTGACGTTTCTCAAATATGTCCAAAGCTTCCTTGTACCATGCTTTGGGATCTTGTATTTGCAGGCATCCTCGCAAAGCGTCCTTAGCGGAGCTGGCGTAGGCAACGAAAAGTGTCTCTAATTTCAAAGCATCAGGTATCTGTGGCATCCCAAATGGTCGCTTGAACTCCCAGTATTCACCACAAGTTCCTCCGCTGAACTTCGGCGTCGGCCTTTGGGAGAACCTCATATTTTCTAACAGTTCTGTCACCCAGCCCTCGGACCTTGGCGGGTCGTCCTTTTGCTCCTTCATTAACGTTCGTGGTTTCGGTGAGCGATCTTGATGCTCGGAAGTACTTCCGCGCTCCCCCTGGTGAAATGTTCCCGGCTCCGCGGTTAAGGTGAGCGTCGGGAATCCTCTTGAAGTATATAGCGTTTCTTCGTCAGTTTCGGTTTGAGGAAGGTCGTGTCTCTGGTAGTGATAACACCTTTCCGCGATCTTCTGTGCTGCCTTTACTTTGTAGCCGATTCATACCTTCGGTGATGTTCTGCATCATCGCTGTCATATGAGCGAACATCTGCTGCAACTGTTGGTATTGCTCACATAATTGCCCTTCAATCCCTTCGTCTGGTAGTTCCTTTCTCTTCTCGGGAGACAGGTTTATCTCACGCTTCCTGGGCGGGGTGGGTGAAACGTCGGTTTCTACGTCGACAGTGTCTCATTTCTGACTTATTCCCATCCATGTTCACGACTGCCAGAACAGCGAGCGTAATCTGTCTTGCTCAATAAATGTATGCAGTAACGCTTAGTATCAGCTACTACTATTGGAGACGTCCCACAATTGCTGATATCACAGAATTGAAGATGTCACACTGACGCGTGCCATACGCATGGGTGACGTCACACAGTGCACACTTCCCTCAGCCTTCATAGGGTAAGGACGTGTGTATTCGGCGTTGCCCACTCACGCGGCCGTGGTCTCTTGATCATGGAGACAGCTGCCAGCCCGGTGTGTCGGGCCCTCTGCTCCCCATCTTCTCCTTCCCATCTGGATTTATCAACATCCTCACACCAACAGTACAGTGCAAAGATTGACCATCAACTCACAAGTGATATACAAAAGTGGCAATTTCAACTCGAAGGAAAAGCACAAAAACACAGCAATACTGATTGTGGCTGGATCTGACCTGACCTCACGGCTTCACCTGACCTAACCTGAAGGATGGAGCACACCTGCATTGCCCCAAGCTACTGTCCTGGCCACTTGGCCACACACCTGCCCAACCGCATCCAGCCCATACGAGCACGAACTGACTGCTACAAGAACAGCGCAGTCTCAACCTTTGTAAAAATCATCAACACCTAATTATTATATATCATATTTGTATCACTTATGTTACTTGTACTTCATTAGTAAATCAAGAGAACCATTCCCCAATTATGTAATTGTATATTTTCAGCCTTCTGGCTGCCATGCTCTTTCAATAAACCGTTAATTATTATTATTATTATTATTATTATTATTACAGTGCCATACGCACGAGTGACGTCACACAGTGCCATACGAGCGAGTGACGTCAGTGCCATACACACGAGTGACGTCACACAGTGCCATACGCACGAGTGACGTACGCACGAGTGACGTCACAGTGCCATACGCACGAGTGATGTCACAGTGCCATACGCACGAGTGACGTCACACAGTGCCATACGCACGAGTGACGTCACATAGTGCCATACGCACGAGTGACATCACACAGTGCCATACGCACGAGTGACATCACACAGTGCCATATGCACGAGTGACGTCACACAAACAGTGTCATACGCACGAGTGACGTCACACACAGTGCCATACGCGCGAGTGATGTCACACAAACAGTGCCATACGCACGAGTGACATCACACAAACAGTGCCATACACACGAGTGACACACTCACACATGCCATACCCACGAGTGACATCACGCAAACAGTGCCATATGCACGAGTGACGTCACGCAGTGCCATACGCACAAGTGACGTCACACAAACAGTGCTATGCGCACAAGTGACTCACACAAGCTCGTGCCATACGCACGAGTGATATACACAAACACGTGCCATATGTGCAAGCGATGTCCCTCAAAAACGTGACGTGCCATACGCACGAGTGATGTCACACTTAACACGACCATTACACAACTGATGTCACAAACACTACTGCGGCACCCTTACTTACACGACGTTACTTAGCTGTCACAACCCTTTATTTTCTAACAGAAAACGCACTTCACTCGTTCTTATTTCTTCCACACACACACGCACATGCACACACCAGCCTTCTTAAACTTGGTGATCTAGTCTGGCTGTACGCTTTGATCACTATCTCTCCAGCGTGTTTGCACGAATGTTATTGACACTGAGGCCACTCCTATCTGACACTGGTCCTCGCGACCTGTCCGTAATGAACGGTAACACTCCCGCGCGCTTGTCCGAACAATTTTGGCACCGTGACTAGTCTATTCTGACACCAGTTCTCGCAGTTACCGGTGCGGCTATCCGCAATGAACACTAACACTCGCACGATTGTCCGAATAATATTGACACGAAGTCCAGTCTTTCTGACAGGTCCTCTTCCTACCTCTCCATACAATGACACGACCCTCGGCAGCTCCCACGTTTTGACTGTAATCGCTCATAGGAACGATTTTGGTTTGTGCAGGACAATAAGACTCTTGTCAAAACCTGTTGAATACAATTCACATATAACAACTTATAACAACTGCTGATACATCAGGACACAGTTTGAATAATACGATCAATATACAATACATAATTACACTTATTAATGTTATTTAGAGTTCTCAGAGGATTCAACAGTTCACAATCACACTCATGTTTTTGGGTCTAGGGTTAGACCAACGAGAGCAAATATAATGTCCTGCAGGAAGATGTTGGCTGACAAGAATACAGATGTTGTCTCTACAGTAGAAGGCAATAGTCTGGCCCTCAGGCAGTCACACAGCTGCTACCAGCTCCATCTCGCTTAGTAAGCTATTCTGAGTTGTAAACAGTCTCTTCACTTAACATGTGGCCAGCGCGCACAATTGTGCGTGGAAATAACACTGTATAAGGTCCAAACATAAAGGGAATAAACATTTCTTTCATGATTAGGCGTTATCAGAGTGGGGAAGGGGGGATCTGTCGGCTGTTCACTGTCTCATGTCCCATGTGTAGTGAAACGATTGTCAATTGGCATTGCAATAGCTTTCTTTTATGTAATTTATTAATATTATTTTTATTTACTCCTCACTTTTACTGGAACAGGACACAGGAGTATATTATTTTATGTACAAAGAATAGCTCCTCTGGGCAACATGCCTCAATTCAGTTGGTCAGCCAATGAGCTGACTCACATTGGGAAAGGGAGGGACACAGTTTGACTTGCAGCTCACTGCCCCCACACAAAATGTTCACTTCCCACACACACACACCCATGCTCATTTTTCTTATTTATTAGTTTTATGTTATGCTTTCTTTATTTCTAAGCCACATTAGAGTACAGTACAGTACTGTATTGCACAGCATTGTTTGTATTTGTATTTTTTCTCAATCGAGCACAGACAAGCATGTGGTGTCGGTCCCAAGCTTTGTTTATTATTTATCATGAATATATCTGTCTTTCTAGTGATTTAATGTGATTTAATGAATTTAACATCAAAATGTGGAATTTAGCTCTAAATATGGCACAGAGGTCAAATTGATAGTGAATATACAGTGGGGTATGCTATAACGAACGTGATTGGTTCCAGAATCTCGTTCGTTATAGCATTCGTTCGTTATAGGATTAATCCGTTCCAGGCCCCCAAATACAACCACTTAACACTGAAAAAATTCTGTGGAAAATGTAAAAAATACGGTACTTTATCTTACCTTAGTGTTATTCAGCATGCAGGTACCCCTAAACACTGGCACATCACTATCACTTCCACTGGGAGTCTTGGCTTTAAGGTCCTCAAACAATTGTCTGGCCTTCTCACAAATTATAGCTTCACTAATGTTACCACCTGCCATTTCTTTCTCCTTTATCCACACTAAGAGTAAATTTTCCATCTCTTCAATCACATTACACTTTGCTTTGCTAAGTCTAAAGATTCCCTTAGCCACTTGCACAGTTTTTAACTCCTCTTTATTCTTCAAAATCGTACATATAGTCGATTTAGCCATCCCATATTCATCACTAAGTTTCGCAATGCTTCTTCCATTCACACGTTTCTTTATAATTTCTTTCTTAGTTTCAAGGGTTATTAGCTTTCTCACTTGCTTTGGACGACTCATTCTTACAATTGTATACTTGTATAACAAATTAGTTATACAAATAACGCGAATTTCCACATCAAAAGACGAAATTTCAACAATAACAGTGGTGCACTGGCTACACAATGAGACAAAGATGGCGCCTGTCGCTCTTGTTGTGGGTCGCGGTACAACAATATTCATGCGCCAGGCGAAATAGTCCCGTATTCATCTGCGTTCGTTGTAGGAGTTGCGTTCGTTATAGCATTCTCAATTTTATAGGTAAAACCGTTCGTTATAGGAATATTCGTAGTAGGATCCGTTCGTTATAGCATACCCCACTGTACTTTAATACAGTGAATATACTTTAATACAATGTAGAACATTCTCTAAGTTTTTATTTGTTAAATTTGAAAGTGGTTTATGAGAGGTGAATGTGGTTTATCCTCAGTGTACTGTTACAAAAAATTATATTTCATGGATTATAATGTTTTGCCCCCAAAATGCATGGAGACCAAATACTAGAGTTTGGGGGTCGTAGATGGGGAGTTGGTATACTATACTGTATATTTACTAAATCGTGGAATTAGTGAAATTCAGGAATCCAGAAACCACAAATTTCAAGGGTTTAGTTACTGTATTATCATTAATTTTAATACTGTACAACAGCCAAAATACTCATTTGGCAATTTATTTATTCATTAGTAATTGCTACTCTCTGTTTCAAAATGTTCTCAGGTTTGTAATGTTGCTCCACTTGCTGGTGAAACTAAAGTGTGGCAGTACATCACCCTGATGAGGAAGATATACCTTGTGGACTGTCCCGGTGTTGTGCCGCCTTCACACGAAACTGCAACAGACATGGTCTTGAAGGGAGCTGTAAGAACGGAGTACCTCAAAACCCCTACAGATTATATTGCTCCAGTTTTAGAGAGGGTGAAGCAAGAGTACATGAGTAAGACATATAAGGTGAGTGTTGGGCCATGGTGCAGGTTGTAAAACTAATAAGACTTATTAGTTTGTCAGTCAACCATACTACATTTCCAAACAACTGAGTTAGAAGAGATGTACAAAGTCCAGAGATCTTAAGTTTTTAAGAACATTTCTCAGTGTAGGAACTACTGTTACGGTAAAATTTACATTTATCTAATTTCCATTATCGTTAAAGGTTATTTAAATGTTACACGCTCTTAGATATGCCGTTACATCCTGTTAAAATGTCTTGTTCATTTGTCTCCTTGCTGTATCATTCTCCTGAAAAATGAGTTGGTTCTTGTTTATGCAAGTTGTAAGACATTATGTGATATCAGTAGTACTGGGCAGTGACCATCATAAATAAGTGTGTGCACTCTTATGTATATTAAATTGTATTAATGAAAACATCTACAGGTATTTGTACCAGCAGCTCTGTAAACTACTGTATTTTAACTGAATCATTCACTCACTCATTGATAAAGAAAAATTATTATTCTATGATAGCCTTTTAACCCTCTCTCGCATGATGACGCGATTCGTGTCATATTCATGATAAGACCAACGTCACGGTGATGCAAATCGAGTCACCAAACTTGAAAAAATTCACCAAAAAATAAGTTTTCACTAGAGGACTTTGCTATATACCTGTATGAGTACAGTACAGTACACTGTTGGGTGTAATTGTTGCTGGTAGAACAACCCTATGGTGGACTAGCTTTCTGCTATGGGGATGAGATAATCCACTAATGCTAAAACTCAGGAGATCTGCATCCATTTGTCCATTCAAAATAACTAGAAAAAGCTTGTTACTGAAATACTGTAAATGGGAAGTTAATTATTATAATATAAAATATAGCAAGCAGAAAGTTAATTTAAGTTGAATTATTTCATCAAGTTTTTGGGAAGTAAATTATTATAATATAAAATATAGCAAGCAGAAAGTTAATTTAAGTTGAATTATTTCATCAAGTTTTTAATAAATATTTTAGGTAGATGACTGGAACACCCCGGAAGAATTTATGGAAAAGGTTGCAAGGCGTACTGGTAAACTTCTAAAAGGAGGAGAGCCCGATTTAAACACAGTTGCCAAGATGATGCTGAATGATTGGCAGCGAGGCAAGATCCCATATTTTGTTCCTCCTCCTGGACACGACTCCTCAGACTTTAATAAACTGAAGATTGAAGAGAATAAAGAAATGGCTGAAAAAATTAAGGAAAAGGAGGAGGAAGAGGAAGAAGAAGAAAAACAGAAGATTGAAGGTTACAAAAATAATCTGCCGGTAGTACTACAGAATTTCAGTAAAATTACTATGAGTTTGGAGTATTCTGGAGATGATGTTAGACCCCTTGAAACATCTGAGCACGTTCCTCAAGATTACGATGAAGAAATTGAGGAGGAGAATGAAAATGACAGTATGGTGGAAGAAGAAAATAACAGTACACCTGACACTGAAAATAAAAAGCGTATCACCAAAGACAGTGAGGAAGTAACTGGTAGTAATGAATCAACAGACATTGATAAGAATGGAGTAAGTCAAGATATGGCTTGTGGGGAAGTGACAACTTGCTCCACAGAACCAACGGACTCTGACAAGAATAAAGAAAAGCTGACAGATGAAGAGGAGATGATTGGTGAAGAGTTGTTGTCAAGTGACGATGAGGTTAAAACAGCAGCTGGTTCATTTGTTGTTTCAAGTATGAGAAAGATTAGGAGAAAACGTAAACATCAACCTGAAGATGAGCAGACAAAACCATTAACTTCGAAACAAAGGAGAAGGATTGAAAGGGAGCAAAAGAAGAAGAAAATAGGTAGCGATTTCTATGAGGTTACTAACGTGAAAAACAGAAACCGCAATAAGGTTAGTCCTGGCTCTTTGGCAGCAGGAGTGAGAGGACAACTTAAGAAAACAAAGAAAAAAAAGTAAGTTATCTTGGCGTGTAGTTGTAAAATTTTATTCATAGTAAAATTCTGTTGTAAGACTTTGTAGAGATTTATTTCAAGTAGCCTATCAGTATTTATTTACACAAAAATATTCACAATTGTACATAATTATGATACAGCATATTTACATTTTACAAATAAAGTGCATAAGCAAAGTCAAGTGTCAGAAAGCCTGACAATATCCGACTCCATCCTTCAGGGACACGAGATCATAAACATTTGGCAACAATTAAAACCAAACATCACAAAGCATGAGTAGTAAAATCATCCTATTAATGCAGTGTTATTTCAGATAAATAAGCTTTGGCAGATTTATTTATATTTTTACTATAGAGATGGGTATCCACAGTTAATGTGCAAGTCAGTCACTAACAAAAAAAAAAAAAACGACCCAGATCTGCAGCCACTTCCTCTAAGTAATTAATTTTTGTTCTTCAAAGTACATGGCTACACAAATTTCCAACATAACTGATCTCTTTGGTTCCATTACTATGGCTAATGTATATGATCACACTACCAAAAAAGTTTTATATTATTAATGTAAAAAAAAAATTGGTACAGGTATCACATTAGTTAACAAGGATGTAATTTAAAAAACATCATTATTAATTTGGAAATGGTTCTTATGTCTAACTGCTTACAGAAAAAAATGAGTTACACTAAATTCAGCCATAACACTTTTTCTTTTTTTCCCCCACTGGTGTACATTCACCTTATGCATATACAGTCCTGGACGAAAGTTCTCACTACAGTCAAGGTAGATGGGGCAAAGTCAGCCCACCCTTACTGGACGACAGGTTCGCTGTCCAGCCATCGCCTCCCTCCCTACACACAAACAAACACCCTCGCAGTTCAACACTTGAGCCCTGATACTTCCATTTCTCAATAAGGACTAGGGAAGGATGTCATTGTTTTGTTAACAAATTCATGAAACAATTTACTCAAGTTTGATATATTTGACATAATAGGTTACATCACTATTAGATAATCATGCCATAGTGCAGTGTGTGTTTTGGTGGCTGGGGTTTGCAAAGATATCAGAATCCTCCAAGCTGTATTGTCACTCAGAATGGTAGCCAGAAAAGTAAGTATGAATGTGAAGAATAATATGGTTCATAAGATAATGATTTATCACCCTCCGTGATAATGGCTTTATCATAGGGTCTACTGCATGTAACCTTGGCTTGTCTATTAAAAAAAAAATATCTACATGATACATGTGTGCAAGATGTGAATTCGCTGTGTGTCACAGCCAAGACTGAAATTTTCCACCTGTAATGGATAAGTTTCCTGAGAGTCTAAACTACGCATCTCGCACAGACAGACGCAAGAGCTGTATTTATTTACCCAAACACATGTACAAAATGCTGTACTCTACAGCAGGCATACACTGTCCACTGCTGTACGCACAGTACAGTATATGTAACTGTAATCAATTTTTACATCTTATCACTGTATTCTTGAAAGATTGTGTCCTGGTACAGTAATGTATATTACTGTACAACACAAATTTTATGCAAAAATAACAGCTAGCGAGAGAACAACCTTGTACTATTGCAGCAGAATATGAACTAAGTGATCCAAGCAGCTAGCCCACCCATGCATTTTCCAGAAAATGCCCCTGATTTGCATCCTCGAAAACTCGTTCCCGTGCCCGGAATTGAGAGAGTTTTCCCGGAATTTTTCCGGCTTGATTTAAATTCTGGCTATTGGAGAGTTCCGGGGACCAGGTATTCCAACTAACAGGGAGGTTACTATGCATATAACATGGAAAATAAAGCTTCTGAGAAAAATGGATAAATTAAACCTTAGAAACTTATGAGTCAACTAATGGGATACCTGTACTAATACAAATAATTATAACATACGAGGTTATAAATAACAAGTAACACGGGTGACTGGAAGCAAAGAGTGACTGCTGTTCATAACTTGGTTTACAAGCTAAAAACTACCAAGATAGTATACTAGTTTCACAGTTCTTCTAAGCACAACGAACAAAGATTAAACTATAACAAGATTACTGCTATCACAGATGAATCATTCTTCTAAAGGTTATGAGTAAATTATAACAATCTATCTCTCTTGTTAGGTGTTCCCATGCACTTGGTTTATTAATTTATTCATCTAAATTGAATGAGTAAAAAGATACACAATAATTTACTTAATTGCCAAAAATAACCACACAACAGACGATTTTAATAGTTATGCTAATTGGATGGTCAAAATCTGACTTCAGGGATTGAACTCAAGTTTTGACGAGTTTCTGTACAGGAGAAAGTAATTGTAGAAAATGTTAACATAGTCATGGAACATAATCCTGACTTTGTCCCTTTGGATATCATCACTTACATATGTTACACTTTATAATAAATTTCCCCTTCCTATATGAGGTATGATACTCAGTAAGGAAAAGAAAATACAGTAAGGTGCATAACTCTGGAACTGTAAAAGCTAGAATCATCAAAAGTGAAGCCGACTCATATTTTCCCTCCCACGAGTATCATTGGCCTAAAACTTGAAAAGACTGTCAAGTCCAACTAAAGTTAATATACAGAAACCAAAAGGTAAGAGACAGATGATGGACATTGCCAAAACTGTTATTTTAAAACAACACTGTGAGCTTATAAAAACTAAAACTTATCACTAAGACATAGTCCATGTCTTACTAAGGTGAGACTTGGCTTTACTCTAAAATACTGTACTATACTCTATGTATATGGTACAAAAAAAACCAGTGGAGTATATAGTTTAAACTAAAAATGGCAGGTAGCTGAAGATGTGATATTAGTAACATGTTATTAGTCTCTGCATTTATCTAGATACAAATATTTAAAATACAATACAATATACCCTGTTATTGGTGTACAAGTTAACAAGAAAACAAGCAAGACTAACAAAATTACCTTGGCCAGTCAATAAAAGTGAGGTAAAAATTATAAATAAGTAGAATTATTTAACCAAAACAATACAGAAATTTGAGTCAATATATCTTACTCAAGTACCACAAAAAATACTGCACTGCAAATCTGTATTTACTAAGTTTACAATAATACATTCTAATATTTAACAATGTTAATATGCATCCTTGATTTTAGTTTACCAATTGTGCACTGTAGTAAACTATAAATTTTGTTGGATATGCCTCCCATGACCCCTTAAACACCAGCTACATGATCTCTTGCATCATCTCTCCCAGCTGCCATCAGGCAACTACAGTACAAGTAAAAAATCTTAGAAGGCTTTTAGATTTGAATTATTTTGTAAATTTGGTAATATTTTTTACAGTAATTAAAAGGCACATCATACAACAGCATCCCTAACTGTCAGTTCTTTGAATTATTTTGTAAATTTGGTAATATTTTTTACAGTAATTAAAAGGCACATCATACAACAGCATCCCTAACTGTCAGTTCTCTGTATTTTCACTTAGTAAGTAATTTCATTTGTTGACTTATCCTGTTTTATTTATTGTAGTTCCTATCCCGTTTTATTTATTGTAGTACTGTATGAACAAACACATATAACGTCACATCAGTTAAGACACGTATTCAATGGCTGGCAGTCAAAACACTTTTGCTAACACTAATTGTGTAAAATGCAATATTAGGCAGCTATACAGTACAGTGAACCCTCACTTTACGCGGTCAATTAAACCCACGGAGACCCGCGTAAAGCGAGAAACGCTTAAAGTGAACAACATAACATATGGGATTAAATGAAATAGAGACCGGCTGACCCCCAAACTCCACTTTTTCCGACACAATACCTATGTTCTAGTAAAAATAACATCTTAATTTTATGATGGTACATGCACACAATTAATACTTAAAGAGAAATAGAGAAATACAGTCGCCAAGTTAATGTCCATTCAAATAATGGACTCAACTCCCCCTCTTCTCACACTCCTGGCTCTTCCCTCTCTGAGAAATGTTTGGGGGAAAACCACTAGATTTTAAGGTATAGTAATAAATAATACCTCAAACTAAAGTTAGGATAATATAATTGACATTGCTGGATTCCTTGTAAGACCAGGAATATTTTGAATATAAATGTCATATATTTTGCACAAAAGATAACATATTTACTCAGAGTAAACAAAATACTTAAAGTAGATCTAAAATTTGTATGTCTAATGCAAAATCTATGATGTTTATATTCAAAATGATCATCAAATTGTAAGAATTCCAGCAATGTAAATTATATTCTGGCCGGGTAATTTGTATGAATTTTATGAGCTAAAACAAATATCTTCAGTTAAAAAAAAAAAAAATATTCTTCACGACACTATCTGTCAATCAAAGTACCCCACCTTGCCTCCCCCCCTCTTCCAACCTCGCCAGATGGTCGGTCGGTCCCTCCCTACCAGAGAAATGTGTGGGAGAAACCAGAATATTTACCTCAGACTAAAGTTAGGATAATATAATTGACATTGCTGGATTCCTTGCAAGACCAGGAATATTTTGAATATACACTTCATATATTTTGCACAAAAGATAACATATTTGCTCTGAGTAAACAAAATACTTGCATTAGATCTAAAATTTGTATGTCTAATGCAAAATCTATGATGCTTATATTCAAAATGATCATCAAATTGTAAGAATTCCAGCAATGTAAATTATATTCTGGCCGGATAATTTGTATGAATTTTATGAGCTAAATAAAAAAATTATACTTCACCCGCGTATATGAGTAGATGCACCGCGTAAAGTGGGAATTCCGGTTCTGGCAGGGTACCGCGTAAAGTGAAACCGCGTAAAGCGAGGGTTCACTGTATACTTCAGGTACTGTATCTGTGATCCAAATATTGCTCACACCACTGGGGAAGTAAGTATGGTATGGCTATTTTATGTATTATAACTAAATAATCAAAGGTCAGTTTTAATATCTTGACACAGAAAGCAATATTTCATTCAATAAGTTAGTGATAAAAACAGCATAATCAACCTTACGAATAAAAAAGTTTATTCTGTAAGGTTCTGGCTTATTCTAAATACAGTACAGCTCCTCCCCGACTACCACGGGGTTAGGGACCCAAATCCAGGTCGTAAGTCGAAAATGCTTAAATAATACATAGAAAATCTAAAATGGGTCTCTTTTTTTCTTCTCAGCACCACAAAACTCTCACTTTTAAGCATGACATCCATTTTAAAGGGAATTACAAACAAAAATTTTGTCAGTACACGGCACAATCACTAACGTTGGGACTCGAAAATACGTAATTTGAAAAAATTTTGGTACGACTGGGACGTCGTATGTCCGGGTGGCCGTAAGTCGAGGAGTGGCTGTACTACAAAAAACAATGTTTTGTTTATTCTAGGAGATGGGTTGAGGTGCATCTGGGTAGACTCAATCTTTTAAGTATTTTGTGTTTCTCTCAAGAACCAAACTAAATTATTCCATTGAAGCAAACTTCGATTTAGTGCAAACTCGGTTTAAAACGACTTCTCTTGGAACGTTTCTCGCATTATATCAACGTTCTACTGTAGAACAAAAAAAAAATACATATTCTATGACTTCTCACATCTCACTACAGACAATCAGTGTTTGAAATACAGGTATTACAACAATCACAGAATGTGCAATATTCTCCCACCTAGGAAAACTGATGCATGCCCCCACAACTGGGAAGTTAGGTACGGTCTAATGATGAACATGTACATTACTGAATATAATTACAATACAAGCGCAACCTTTGTTAGCCTTGTCAGTTTATTAGAAAGTTAAAGGAAGGACATAAAACTAATTGCAGAGAAAAACAAGCATATAAAGAGATATCAGTAACTTGTAAACTTGGAAGCAATTATTTAGGTATCCTTATTTTGTACTGTACGTAGTTGAATTTTGTGAACGATGCACTTGATAAAACCTGACCAAACCAAATTGAAGGCTCTGGAAGATCATTTATTAGGCATGGTGTTGTTTATTTTATGGGACTATTTTTCCCTTTTGTTCCCATTACATTGTTGTAATTTTTTAAGAAAGTCAATAGGTTATAGCATATATCCTATGACAGAATGTAGGGAATAGCTAACATCATATTCTTAAATTTCATCACAATGGCAGAAATTATATTTGCATCAAGTTTGATAAGTCAAAGTGCAAGTACTGAAAATTAAAAAATCAATAAATAATAATGGTACTACTGATATAGTATGACAGCTGAGTGCAACTTTGTTTTGACTGCCAGTCATGATGTACACAAAAGTCACATGGATATGTGATGTCACATGTGTCTGCCTGATATACAAGTAAACATTCTGATCAAGAATGTTAAGAATACATGTATGGTTATTCTATAGGTTTAAAACCATGGCCAAAGTACATACAGTACATCATCAATTTAAGATATAACTCATAGCAGGGATCAAATATTCAAAATAAACGAAATCAATCCAAACATTAACTCCACCTTTACCACATACTTAGAACATGTTATACTGTATTCATAACACACCTTAAAAATGTTTTAGTACCACAGCTATAGTTTGTAGTAAAAGGGGGGGGGGGGATTAGTGCAAGTGCTGCTATATCTTGATCAGTTTCATAAATATCACCACCAGTTCAACAATTACAGTACAGTATATGTCTTGTTAATCAAACTACAACACAGGCATTAGTACATATGAATGTTTCATCTCATTTTTTGTCTGTTGATGGCATCTGTGAGTAACCCATTTCACAAGTACCTGTACTTTGAAAGTGCCATTACAGAGGATTAAACAGGCACATTCCTAATCTGCCTAAAGTTAATAACTCGGGTTTGTAGAGAACTTTAAGAATGAGTCTTCAATACCGCTGAAAGTTAAAACTGATAAATTATAAATGTAGACACTTAACTTAAATGAGAGAAAAAGACAAAATCCTGCTCTTGTGTGCCTTTACATTTCAGCATGGACGATAAGAAGATTTATGATGATACTGTATAGCTACTGTTAATATTACCAAAAGCCATTACAATTAGCATATCCCCCCCTCAAAAAAAAAGGCCATACAGTCCCTCTTAAATTAATTTTGGGTTAGAAACACAACCAGTATTCACAAGTAATAACCTGACATATGTCACTTTTACACCAAAACTGAAATCAATCCACTGAGTCTATGTAAAAATCACTGAAGAGAAACAAAACTTGTCTCACTCACACACAGAGCATCACTAGTGCATCTGTCTGACTTTTTGGTTGAGAGTTAAAGTACTAATAAGTCTTGCTGGTATTCTTTGATAACCTCCCCTTGGCATGGATTCAACATTGACAGATCATTGAAGCCTTACCACAGACAGCAAAATAGGATTAACTAAAGTATTAAATGTATGCATATAAAATTCATTATGCACTAACAGTTCCTCATCTACTTCACAATTTTCTCAATATATTTGTGCCAACCTTTTCAACAATGCAAAATATTTCATTAAAGTAACAATAAGACTAACTTGTGGCAAGAGACTATATCTACATTAAAAGACACTAATCCACTACAGTACTGTATTAGCTAATGTTTTGGCTTGTTTAATCAGTCAAGCTTGTAAAAACAATAATATCTGATAAATAATATGTACATTGGACTATAACACACCTCTTTGTCTTGTATATAACAGGCAGTGACATAATGGCAGTGGCTGATGCACACTTAAATGAAAATAACAAGTACAGTAAAACCTCTCTAAGGCGGACCCCAATTAAGCCGGATAAAATTACAGTATTTGCCCCAAAATAATTCAAATAAATAAATAAAGTAGGGCATCATTTGTCGTAAAATGACACGTCCACCATCAGCCAAAATTTCAAGGGAGCAAGGCGAACGACCTCGTGATCCACTCACGCCACCCACACTGGTAAACAAAGGGACACCCATAACACGCTCAGCCATAAATTACCGTCGCCCGTGATAGCATCACTTCTATCTCACTCTGTTGATTGTGTTTTATTGTCATTTAGACGTGCTGAACTTGATTTTGAAATTTATTTTACATTGCCAGTCATGTGATTATGTTGTAGGCTGACATATTTTTTCATATTATTAAACAATTAAGACAATAACCATGGCCCCTAAGAAAGTAAGGGAGGTAAGAAGGTTAAGCTAAAAGCATCAGTGAACGAAAAGTTAAAGGTGATTGAAAAGCTAGAAAAAGATACTACTCCCTCGCAAATATGCATTGAATACGGAATTTCAAAGTAGTCAGTGTCGGATATACGAAAATCGAAAAATAAGTTAAACAAATATGCCTTGAAATTTAATGTGGACAAAGTAAAATCTGGCAGTAAGAGAATGAGGACTTGGATGAGGCAGTGCATAAATGGTACGCACAGCAATGTGCAAGAGGAATAGCAGCCAGAGGTGTGAAAATCCAGGCAGCTGCTGAAAGGTTAGCAAAATATATGAATGCAAAGGATTTTCATGCTAGTGCTGGTTGGTTATTTAGATTTCGAAAGCACCACAATATTGTGTAAAGAAAATATGTGGTGAGGGGCTTAGCGCTGATATTGATGCTGTGGAGCCATTTAGGAAAAAGTTGAAGGACTTAATGGAGGCCTAAAACGTTCGATTATGGCAACTGTACAATGCAGATGAAACTGGACTCTATTGGAGAGCTTTACCAGAAAATACACAAGCCTCCAGAAGTGAAAAAAGTGTGCCTGGTAGGAAACTTTCCAAGGAATGAGTGACTGCATTGCTGCGTGCAAATGCTGATAGGGAACCATATGCTTACACCTGTGGTTGTAGGAAAAAGCAAGAAACCTCGTGCAATCAAGGACATTATGAACAGGATTCCTGTCCACTACTATAACTCCAAGAATGCATGGTTTACAGGAGCCATAACCTCAAAATGTTTTTTCAAACATTCAGGCATGAGCAGGTGGAAGATCTGAAAATCCCTGCTGATGAAGTGAGGCTGTCATCCTCTTAGATAATACTCCCTTACATCTCAACATTAAAAAACTGTACAGCAGGGATGGAAGAATCAGGTGCCAGGCATTGCCACCCAACACCACCTTTGTCATACAGCTAATGGATCAAGGTGTTACTTATGCTGTGAAAAGGCTGTACAAACATAATTTTTTGCATGGAGTGATGGTGGTGAAAGAGACAAGCGAGGATCAGGTGGAGGACACAAGAGGGCAGAGGACCCTCAGAAACATGAAGTTATTTAACTTCAGGTCCAGCTCTCTAATTTTGCTGCTTTTCCCAAAGATGTCAAGGCAACAACCCTCATCAATGCCTGGAAGAAGCTCCTTTATGACATTGATGAGGAGCATGATTTTGAGGGCTTCACATCAAAAGACTCCCACAGAATTCTTCTCCAAGCAGGAGAGAAGGATGCTACAGTTGAGGATGAGGAGACTTGGCTGGAGGCTGATGAAGATGATCCTGGATAGAGGAGGAGATTGTGGACTCTGTACATGAGGCTGCAGATGACTTTGATGATGATGATGAAGAGAAGGAAAATGAACTACTAAAAATAAAGCTGCCAGAAGCTAGGGACTGCCTGGACACCCTTATAGAATTTAGTCATCAAATTAAAAATTAAAAAATTGGAGCCTATTACGATCAATTAAGGCATTTCGTCTTATTAACTCTCCTCCTTGAGTTAACAATCTTTCTTCCCTTTCTCTTCGCTGCAATGTTGCTTCCCTCTCGCTTTTACAGGTATAGCTGCTCCCCGACTTACGACGGGGTTAGGGACACAAATCCAGGTCGTAAGTTGAAGTGGTCGTAAGTCAAAAATGCTTAAATAATACATAGAAAATCTAAATTGGGTGTCTCTCTTTCTTCTCAGCACCACAAAACTCTCACTTTTAAGCTTGTCAGCCATTTCTGACTCACTCAGAGCTTGCAGTTAGAGGCACGTCCAGCTAGATCTGCGTTCCATTTTTGGGGGTAAGTGTACAGTACTTTGTGTACCTTACTTTTTTAAATATTTTTTATTTATTTATTTTTTTTTTTCATAAAGATCGATATTTTGGTATTGTACTCGTTTTTGTTTAAAATAAAGGTAATTTTATGAAAAATGTGCTCTAAAGTGGACAACCTCTTATCCCAGACACCCTTTCCCCTCAATTAGTCCGCCTTAACAAGGTTTTACTGTACAACCTACTGATATTAACCAAGCTGTTTTCAAAGTTATTAAAGACATTTGGTTATCTTTTATGAAGGCAGAAGTTAAAAATATACTTGTGCAAGAGGCATTGGTAATAGAAAATTTGTAAGGTATGCATGTGAGCAAATGCAAAACAAAAATACAAGATTGTATTCACAATACACGATATCTTTGGAAGATCACAGCACAGCCCAAGTTCATGACTCGCCACCTGACAATAGTAGTGACGGCAACCACTTAAAAATGCAATGTTTAGACATAACAGGTAAATAGTGAGCTACAAACCTTTCAATACTGCTAAAGTTTTGCCTCAGAACCTGGACCACAGACACAACCTCGATAGCCAATGCTTGAGAAAATTGTGTAAAAAAAACAGCTAACATAATTCACTGCTGTCCTTCATATTCTTGTCATATAACTGTTTCAGAATTTACACCAAACATATACGGTGGTGGTCTCTCCCGTTCAGCTTTCATTGTTCCATTGTTACTGTAATTGGAACTACGAATGGATCCTAGTGTACTTGTTGGCCCTGGAGGAATATGATGGTTCGTGTGGCCATTGGCATGCATCATTGACCGTCGCTGATGAGTCCCACCCATCATGCCAGCAGTTATGGCCTGGACGGGTGGTCGGCCATATGGATTAGGGTTAATTGAGGGCCGTTGTCCATGATAGTTAGAATAGGAGGAATGAACTGAGGGAGGTCGCTCCATAGGGTCATGCCCAGGGGGGGAACTGTTCATTGAGTAAGTGGAATTTGGTCTGGAGTGAACGTACATGGGATTAGAATGTCCTTGTCGTCCCCCAGTAGGTGGACGAGTGCCATTGTTAGGATGGTATGAGTCTGTACTAGTGGAGGACTCATTTGCTTTATCCATGAGCCTGTTGACAGGATTGAGGTACTGATGTCTCCTGGATCGCTGCGATGATCGTCCCTGAGTACTACGAGTTTGTGAACGACCTGAAGCTCGATGGCGACTTTGTCGCTTGACTCGCCGTGGTGTCATAGGCTGTTGGTAAGGGCTGTCATCAAGGCCCATGTCAGGTGACTCACTTCCTTCACGCTGAGGGCTGTAAAGAAAAATACAATTCTAAGAAACTTCCTATGAGCATTAAAGAAGAATGACAGAATTCTAAGAGCACAATTGTAGAAAGTGCTCCAGAGGTGTGTTGGTACATGAGACTTGGAAGTAAAAACAATAAAAATGAACAGTAGAATGAGAAGGTGGCTCAGCTAGTTACAGAGGAGAGATAGGTATATTAGCATAAGCTCCATGTGAAGAGAGAGGAAGGAGTGGAAGAACACAAGGACATTAAAAAAGAATGTACAAAACACGCAGATGAGGCTTTAATCCTCATGTTCTGATCATTCCAAAGAATAAATGAAAACTGTGAAGTTACTCCAGGCGACTGGGGAATGGAACAGAGATCAAATGTATTAGAGCAGCTGAGTGGAGTAGTTTTTCTCAGCTGATGTCAGGTGGCGACTGCTGCACAGAGTCAGCTTCCAGCCGCCCTTGCAGCTTAGGGGCATCTCTGGCGTCATGCACTGGCAGTATTGTTGCAATATAATGAAGCCTATCCCCTGTCGGCTGTAGTCGGTGAGTGCCACTGTTGGCCACGAGACGTCGTAGTACCGCAGTCCCTCTGCAGCCAGTTTGCCCACCGCATCCCTTGTCTCTTCGAAATCGCCTGCAACTGGCTGTCCCAATAGACTGTCTTGCTGGCGGGCTTCTTCAATAAGTCGTGAAAGGGCTCCATCAGGGGCGTGACAGGATCGTATGTCAGTGATTGAGGGCTTGGGCAACATGTGGAATTCGGTGATGCTGCTGATGAGGTCCTGGCTCGGCTGGTAATCCTCCCAGTTGAGAAGGTAGCCAGCAAATGTCACACTCCTCCTGCAGAAGCGGAACTTGTCGGGCCTGAGTGACCCCACTGTTCGCACATGTCTCGAGGAAATCGAAGGTGTGCCAGAACGCATGGCGATGCTGCGGTTGTATAACAACGTGTCTTCGACACACTTCATTTTCCTTGGTATATCCACCACCACGTCGTTGAAGCGTCTGGTGAACGCATCCTGTGCCACACAGTGGCCCATGGGGAGGCACTTGTAGAGGAATCGGTCCCAGGGGGTAATGAACGTTGTGAGTCTCTTGCTCTCGTCATCAAGTGGGATCTAGTGATACCCCGAGTATGCGTCCTCCACCGTCTTGAATGTGTGCTTCGGGACGCTCGAGATCATGTCGAAGGGGGAGCAGGTGTGGTGGGTCTCGCACTAACTTGCCTGGTTGAGGTGCTGAAAGTCTACCATCCTGCATGACCGCCCGTCCTATTTGGGCACGACCACCATGCGAGAGCACCATTCTGTTGGCTCTCCAATGGGCACAGGCCCGATGATGCACCTCCTCACGTCTTCCTCGAGCTGCTGGCGAACCTCGTCGTAGAAATGGTGGGGTATTGTTGCGGGAGTGTGCACCGCGTACAGTTTAGCATCCGGGAGCAGGTGAATGTGGTGGGGAGGTCCTTGCATCTTGGGCAGGAGAGTGCCCAAAGTGCTCAACGAATCACTTCTCCAGTCTCTCCACATTCTCTTCTTTCAACTTGCATGGGGGCGTCGTGGGTCGGGCAGGGGGGGCTGGGCTCCTCTTCGATGAGCCCTGTAGCGCCGACTACTGTGGGTGCGTTGGGGAAGTCGCGTGGCACCAAGCCAAGCCCTCTGAACACAGACAAAGACAGGTACAGAGACTGGACGCCTTCCGCAAAATACAGGCGCATCCCGGTTGTGGCGCATCCCACGATGACTTGGTACTCCTTGCTCCCGAGCATGTTCACGCCCCCTCCGGCGATGTGGGCTCCGTCCAGGTGGTGTGGGTCTAGCCTGAGAGCGCAGACGTGTTGCAGCCTGACCAGACACACCTGTGCGCCAGTTTCTTCTATGGCGCACAATTGCCACTCCTCCTCCACCCCGCTGCAGCTGATCAACTGGCAGTGTCCTTCGTCAGGCCCGCGACCACAGCCCCGCCCAAGGTGCTTGCATGGGCGCTGGGTTGTACTGGTGACTTGCTGACGCGTGCAAGGTGTCCCTCCAGGCCGCACTGGTAACAGGTTAAATGCAGCACAGGACACTTCTGGTTGCCAGCACACTTGCTGCGTCAGCACATTTAGCAACAAAGCTGAGGTCAGGCGCGAGGAGTACCGGCATTGCTAGGTGATGGCGTCTCCAGTTTAAAGTGGCAGGTTCCGGCACCCGCCACTGCACACGCCATGGAAGTGGTTCTCTCCGCTGACTCATACACCTCACATGCTCTGATAACGCCACCCACGCCTTTCAAAAGTGGGAGCCGGCGCAACACTCCACTTTTCATACTGGGGTTAGCAAGCCCCATCACTAGTTTCTTCGCTAGCATGCAGTCATCCAAGCTAGACTCGCATGCGGGGCACTGAAACCTGCACTCCGCGGCCTTCAACAAGCACCTCACTACATACCTGGATATGTTGTAGCCGGTTTTTGTGAGCATGCGAAAAAGTCTGCCCACACACCCACAACTCACTTTTGGCTTACCACAACACTTTCTACAGCCTTTATGGCTTCCTCCACCATCAAGTTATCATAGACATACTTTTTCACTCACACTTCAATGCACTGCTGCACCTCCGTGTCACACAGAAGACAGACGTAGCCTGCTGCCAGACCCTGTGGCCAGTTGCATCCGTAGCTGTAGGTGGCGACACTGAATGCCCAGGCTCTGAATTCGGTGGGAGACAGGCCCATGGACGCCTTACCCGGGGCCACCAGCGGGGCAGGTGGGCGCCCTGCTGCCTGGGCCTGCTGTGGGAGCACAGGGTACATCAGGCCGGCTCCAACACTTTGTAAGCCGCCGCTGCTCTGTGGCAATCGGTACTGGGCCAGCGTTGACGACCACAGGTGGACTGCGTTCCTCGCCTCCTTCGCTGCTACGATGGTGCTGGCCTGGGAACGCCACTGTAGACGTCGGCAACACTCCTTCCGGGACACCCATAGAAGTACACTGCGCCATGTTAGGGTGCCAACCCGGGGGACAATGAAAGGCCACGTCCATATTGGTTTTATTAGCAAAGGTGACAAGGGGGAACAGAGATGTCCACACAGCTTGAAGGCTGAGCCGGAACTGACAGTTAAACTTCTTAAACTTCTGCCATTGGCGGACCCATACACTGTTGCCAAACTGGCACATACCCCAACAAAGGGGTACAGCACACCCTTCAATTTGCAGGGGTTAGGTTCTCAAAATAGCCGCGAATCGCCAAATCCATTAGTAACATTTGCTGACTGGGGGGGATTACTTGTGTACAAAGAAATGTATATTATTTCTTTTACCTGTACTGTATATATGTATATGTGAGTAGACAGACACACACACACAAAACACATACAAATAAATAATGATGGGAAAATCCTTTCACAAATAATCAGAAAAAAATTTAATAAAAATGTTGAGGCTACCCTCAAATTCACTCAATATTTTATCAATAACAAGCACGGAGTGGACTTGAGGGTAAACTCAATATTTTTAATACATTTCTTTCTGATTGTATATACTGTATGTACATTATTGTACTGTATATATATGTGTGTAATAATAATAATAATAATAATAATAATAATAATAATAATAATAATAATAATTAACGGTTTATTAGGATAACATGGCAGCCCGAAGGCTGAAAATATACAATGAACAGCGGTGATAAGTTACATATGGTAGAAGCAGGGAGTGGGTCACTTGATTGACAAAGAGTCAACATACAGATTAACTATAGATCTGGTAATGTTTGAGCTTGACTTGTAAACATTCTTGTGACCTGATGTTGGCGCCCACTGTCTGGATGGTGATTGAGTCATACCTGGGTGTTAATCCGCAACCTCACTACAGCTGCAGATACACCATGTGGTCCAGGAAGGTCCTTCAGCTCAAACAGGGTGTTGGAGATGGTTCTTGTTCCTCATGTGATGTAGTTAGGAATTCATAGTTCCTCACCTGGGTGGAGTAGGGAGTCCTAATTTCTCTCCTGATATAGTTAGGAGTCTTTCTTGGCTTCTCATCCGGTGTTGGTGGTGGTGAGTGTACGGTGGACAGGGTGTGTCTGGTCCGGTCCGGTCGGGTCAACATTGACCGCTAAGCACTGATTGTCGCTCGAACAGTTGTTTCTTTCTTTCGAGTTGAAATTGTCACTTTTGTATATCACTTGTGGGTTGATGGTCAATCTTTGCACTGTACTGTTGGTGGGAGGATGTTGATAAATCCAGATGGGGAGAAGGAGATGGGGAAGGGGAGGGCCCGACAAACTAGGCTGGCAGCTGTCTCCATAGTCAAGAGACCACGGGCAGCGCCGACGTCCTCACCCTCTGAAGGCTGGAGACGGAGGGTGTGTGTGTGTAGACACACATACACAAAACACATACAAATAAATATTTATGGGAAAATCCTCTCACAAATAATCAGAAAAAATTATTAAAAATGTCGAGTCTACCCTCAAGTCCAGTACATGCTTTTTTATAAATAAGGCAATGATGGAGGTTGGAGACAAACTGTGTGATAATGATCTGCAAACTTAATGTTCTCATATTGAAGCTCTTAAGGAAGATATGCTGATAAGATTTGAAGACCTCAGTGAACTCAGTGTACCTCACTGGGTTATTAATCCATTTTTGGCAAATGTGCAAGATATTCAGCAAAACTTGCATGAAGAGTTAATGACCATGAAGCCTAAGCATGATTCAAACAATGTGGTTATGAAGTATTCTGGGCCAAAGAACAAATTCCATGCCCTCATCTCTGGCAGGAGGTAAAACTGGTAGTCTTGGCATTTTCCACATCATAATTAGTTGAGAAAGTTTTAGTGCTGTGGTATAGTTACAAACAAAACAAAGAAATAGACTTCAAATAAGTGAGAGGGGTGACTTAAGGCTGTCTCTCTGTCAAACATTGAACCAGATATGAGTAAGTTAGCACAGTCTCATGAAGCTCAAGGTAGTCATTGAAGCACAGGTGTTTTCTGTTAAAATAAAAGCTTTTCTTCTATGTACATTAGGAATGTTGTACAGCTACAAACATTGTTCATGCAGGGTGATTTATGTTTAAATAAAGTCAAATTTATTGTCTATGTACCTAAAGAATGTTGCACAGCTATAAACATGAGGTCACTGGGAGATGCAGAGGGGTCAAAGGATGAATTGGAAGAAGAGTGTGGGTGTGTGAAGGTCTATAATGCATCAGTTTTGTTGCTGAGAGAAATGTCATGGTGGATAAACATCTATTATGTTACAATCAAATGGATTCTTACTGTATTTCGAAAAGTTGATCCTCATCTTAAAATCAGAAAAAATATGATACCCAGAGTTTGTCTCCAATAAATGAACAAATAAGGAAATGGTACAAGTAATACTGCAGTGTCTTTCATGATAACGATTAATGTAATTTCTGAATTTTTTACATTCAATTAACAATGTTACACTAGCAAGTTTGATTTTTGGCCACAGTAGTAACCAATCAAAACAAAATGTTATGTAACTCTTATCATATTTTGGTAACATGATCTTTTAGAAAAACAACTTTAAATATTACCTGTATTCAACAGAGTAGATAGATGTGGGTCTGCTCTTAGCTTTGCCTGCAAAAATGTGGGAAGATTAATAATGTACTGTATGCAAGTCATCACATCTAACTACTGTATCAGTCAAATGCAATAACTCAAAACTACTACCAATATTCCTCCTCTCCACTCACAGTATATAGTGACAAAGAATATCAACTCAACATATTCATGAATAAATAATATCTGTTTTTCTTCAATTAAAATTAAGTAAAGTATTTTTACCTAATTATCATCACAAACTGTCGATACATCACATCTCTAATCTTATGTTAATATCACAGGTACTGTATACAGAAGAGGTTGGTGATTACAGTATTTATCTTTACATTATAAATTCTGTCAAAACATATTAAAAGATGACCAAATAAAAGCTAAAAATATGTATAAGTTTAAGTAAGCCCTGTAGTGAACCAGTACAGGTTAAATATAAACTACATCATTAGTGATAAAATCCACACATGAACACTTACTAAATTATAATAATAAAGCAACATTGATGTGCTATTCATTAATAGAATATCACACCATTTATAATATAAAAAACATCTTTAATCCACAGCAAAACATCATTGGATGCTCAAGCATGTAAATACAGCTGAAAATGTCACTGCAACTCAACAGCAAACCCACTATCTACTGAACACAACTTGTGAGCATTATTACTTGAGTGCACTGCAAGGGGATGAGTTGCCCAGAAATCAGGTACATTTTGAGTGACAAGCTAGTGTGGGCCCAGCAGAGGGGAGGGATGGCTGATGATAATGATGGTGTTGATGGTGGTGGTGGTGGCAGCCATGCAGGATGGGAGTCCCAAAGGACCAGGAGCAACCCAAAGACACTGGGACTCCAGAAAGGCAGTAATACCTGGCATATGTGGGCTGAACAGCCATGTTACCAGTCACTCCCTGCTCAAACCCGCCTATAAAGTCGACTGCAATACCATGAAAGTTTGTCAACAACCAAAACTTAAGACTCCCACCAGCTGCTCAAAATTAATCCACAACCATAAACTATATCACTATGGTCCACTGTAAACAATGAAAAGTATCCTTAATTTAAATTTTTCTTCAGCTGAAATAATACAAGTATATAGAATTTCATAAATATATTCCTGAATTCTTAAACCAAAAATAAAAGTGACTTTGAAATTGTAAATAAGAATAATATACTGTATAATCATTACTTACAGCTGTCATCCTCTTCTGAGAAGACCATTATAAGGTAAATGGACACACACAACCCCAATGTCTGAAATACCAAACACCAAATTAATACAGCAAATGTACCGTTAGTAAAGTACAGTACAATACTTATATACAGTACTGATTTCCAATTGCTCTACCTATGTACTGCATTTATTTTTGTGTAACTAAATTTTTTACTTTGACACAATATACTGTACTGTACATACTGTATATCATTTCTCACTCTTGATATTTTTATTTTTTTATTTTTTTTATGGATTATTATTATTATTATTATTATTATTATTATTATTATTATTATTATTATTATTTAAAAATTTTATTACAGGTTGACCATCAAAAATCCGCCAATCGATAAACCGGAACCTTCAGTTTTCCGGCATGGATTTCGGAGCGCATTTTCAAATTTCCTGCCTTGGCGCACCATTGTTTTCTGGACGCGCCGTTTATGTTTTGATAGCGCTGTACTCCAGAATCAGCTGTTGGGTCTTGCTTGCACCTGCTAACAAGCATTCATGCTCATTCCTTCTGATTTTATCATTTAATTGCTGCTGTATAGCCCCATCATGGATTCAGCAAAGAAAAGCGGTGGCGTAAAACGTAAACATCATGCGTTGTCGATCGCAGAGAAAGTGGAAGTGCTTAAAAAACTTGATAGCGGCGTGTCATTTTTTTTTAAACTTATACAGCAAATATAACCATCAGTTTTCCGGCATTTTCGAAAATCCGGCACTCCTCAGGTCCCGAGGTTGCCGGATTTTTGATAGTCAACCTGTAGTACATTATTATTAATATTTTCATTTATTATAATTGTTATTTATTTTTATTATTTTTATTATTATTATTATTATTATCATAATTTTTATAATTATCTTATTATATTTTTGCCCCCCAGGCTTTGATGTGGGTCGTTAAAAATGACCTGTGCCCTGGTAGGCTAATGGCCATAAAAACAAAACAAAAAAACGATGGGATTAGGTTACTGAAAAACCCATCGCTAAGTGAAATATCATAGACAGGGAGCATTATAACATGGGGTTCAATGGGATACGTTCCCAGCCAGTCCCCAAACACAAATGTATCACCAACAAAAAAATTCCTAAACGAATAAAATCAATAGAAAACAAGTACTGTAAACAATACTCCCCACATCATGAAGAATAAGCGTGGTCCTCATCACATGTGATCTTCAAGGTTAAGAGGACTCTTGTAGGTGGAGTGTGGGTGTCACTCTGACACCCACACAACCTCTAGGGAGTCTCTTGCTGCTTAACAATGTCAAGCTTCACCTCTGAGACACGGTTGTCTTCGATGCCTTGGCTTTCCCAGACATTTTCAAGGTCACAAAAACAGAACAAAAGCACTTGTCACAAAAACAGAGCCCACTGCCCACATCATTTTCACAACAACAGAGGCAAAGCACTTTACAGTCACAAAACAACAGAAAATATCACTTCACAGTCACCATGACACAGTTCAATCTAAATGTGAGTGTCATGCTCTCACTATGAGAAAAAACACCGATGATAAGTACAATATACATACAGCCACCGATGCCGAGCGATAATCTTGGGGCTACACGATGATGGGGAATTACGATCGACAAAGAACCGAGCGCAGGACTGTAGTGCGTGGGTTGGCCAAGTGGCGACGCGCGGGTAGATATTACTGCGGCTGACAGGTGCAACCCGAGATGCGTTACATTTGGTGGTGCATAGGGTTAAATATCGTTTCCTTATAAAATGTCAGACTTCAAGTAGAAATATATAATTTGCATTGCCGGAATCCTTGTATGACAGCAAATAATTTGAGTGCAGTACCTGTATATACAGCTCCTCCCCGACTTACGACCTACTTGACTTACGACCACTCGCACTTACGACCTGCCTCAGTCGTACCAAAATTTTGTCAAAATACGTATTTTCGAGTCCCAACGTCAGTACACAGAGAAAATTTTTCTTTGTAAATCACTTTAAAATGGCTGGCAAGCTTAAAAGTGAGAGTTTTGTGGTGCTGAGAAGAAAAAGATACACCCATTTTAGATTTTCTATGTATTACTTAAACATTTTCGACTTACGACCTGGATTTGGGTCCCTAACCCCGTCGTAAGTCGGGGAGGAGCTGTACTGCACAACCCATAGTTTGCACTTTTGAAATGGAGCAGGCAGCTAGACATTGCTGCCTCCAATACCAAGGATGATTTCGCCATCGGGGGGCGTGACAAAACCTCCGGCCTGGTAGGGAGAAGTCTTAATGGATCACAGTGAGGATGCTGCTCTGCAATCTACAACACCCTGACCAGTACGTAAGTCGTCTACAAACGATTCGGTACGGCACATCAGCATTCGGGTGATCCGCATTTGGGACGGGAGAGCCAGCACTGATGACACGACTCTCCCGAGTTCTCCTTGCATGGGTCCATTCTACGGCGGTGCGGCGTGCCGCCCACCAGAGTCTCGTGATATCTTTGACCATTCCAATGCCAGCCGTACGCGGTATTCATAATAAAAAATACCAAAATAAAAATAATAATAATGATAATAAAAATAATAATAAAACACTGCAATAATAATAATAATAATAATAATAATAATAATAATAATAATAATAATAATAATAATAATAATAAAGAACCACAAAGAAATACAAAAATTAAAAAAAGATCAAGAGTGAGAAACAATATACAGTGGTCCCTAGGTTAACAAACACAATTCGTTCCAGAAGGTCATTCATTAACCGAATCCATTGTTTCAATGGGATATTGGGTAATTGGTTCCAGCTCACCGAAAAGTACATATGTACAAAGTAAAAAAAAATGCAGTAAAGTACACGTACTTTGAGGTGTGTATGTAGAAGGTTCCTGGTTGATGATGATGATGATGGGAATTAGAAGTGGGGGTGGAGGAGAAGAGAAGGAAGTGGGGATGGAGGAGAAATCACCTTTCATGGAACCCATGTTTGATGCCGTCATTTCACCCATAAAATTTTAAGTTCACTAGGTGTAATTCAAGATTATTTTATTTAAATCAATACAGTCGGCCCTTAACATACGCGGGTTTATAACACACGGATTTGCAAATACGCGGATTGCCCCGCCGGAGGAATATTCTGTACATTGAAGTAATTGAAGTACATTCAAAACACGCGCCATTCAACTCGAGCGCGGCACCGAACACAGGACACCGCCCGCTCCCGCAACCTCACACACACACGCATAGCTCTACCTCACTCAGTCAGTCTCGCTGTAACCACGCTTGTGTTGACATCAGCATTGTAGTTGCAAAAATATTACATTTCCGTGAATGTATTATATCAAGCACAGTATGAATAGAATATCACTAATATAACAGTATTTTAACCGAAAACTGCTAAAAAAACGAGCAACATATCTTGAACATCGGAAGGTTAGGTAAAGTCTTTTGTTTTCATGTAGTTTATCCTAATTTACATTGAAATGCAATATGTTTCAGCAAAACTACTATTTATTTCTGAGAATAAGGAATGTAATATTTTGCTGAAATGACGTACGTATTACAGTGGAAAGTGACTAAAGCAATGACTCGCTTTCTTTCGTTCAAAAGATGTTACCGTAATCGCTTTTCGAATGGTTTTCAGTTAAAAAACTGTTGTATTACGATAATATCCTATCCTAATTCACTTGTGATGCAACAGTTTTTTTAACTGAAAACCATTCGAAATGCGATTACTGTAACATCTTTTGAACGAAAGAAAGCGAAAGTCATTGCTTTCGTCACTTTCCACTGTAATACGTACTTCATTTCAGCAAAAATATTACATTTCCATGAATGTAGTATATCAAGCACAGTACAGGTAGTTCTGCTATAACGCGATAATTGTGTTCTTGTAAAATATCGTGTTATAGAAAATCGCGTAATAGAAATAACAGGGCTTATGGAGAAAATAGGGTTAGGTGCAGATTACTCCAAATCGAAAAAAAATTTCGTAGTTAGCCTAACACAAAGGATAGCACAGTCTAAATAAATGTTACATTCATATCTAATAATGAAATCATACAGTAAATGTTACACTTTACCTTGAAAAAATATGAATTTAACTTGATGGGGGAGAAGGTTAATGTTGAGGTTGAGGAGTCATGCAGACAGGATTTGACAATTGTCATCGTCATCATCAGTATCATCATCATCAGGTGCAGTTTTGGATGCATGGGAGGGAAGAAAAAAACGTCTAATTCCAGAAGTGGATGGCTGTGGTTCAGTGTCTTCAGTCTGCTTCTTGGGGGTTGACTTAAAAAAGACGTCTAATGTTTGCACTAAAGGCAACCACATCATCAGGATTTTCAGCTTTTTTCTTTAGGTCCTCATATATTGACAAGGCTTTCTCTTTAATGGTGAGGAAGCTGGTCCCAGATCGCTTTTTCGTTTGATCTTCTATCCAAACACTTAGAAGCCATTCCATCTCCTCAAGTTCCTTTGGCCGTGATCTTACACTTTTGCTAGCTCTCTTGGTTTTTCCAGCAACACAGCTTGCTTTAATCTTTGCTGCATTGGCTCTAATGGTGCGCAAAGTAGACTCCTTTATTCCCGTTGCACGCACAATATCACATGTTCTTTCCTTATTTTCAAAACGCTTGACAACATCAAGCTTGCCTTCAAGTGTTATAGCCTTTCTTTTACGATCACCACCAGAAATGCGATCACCAGAATGCTTCCCGGAGATATTCTTCTTTTCCATAGTCACAAAATTGGGGAAACAGTAAATCAGAAAGCACTGAGGACGCTTAAAAATTTCTCACGTCTAGCAAAGTGAACGTGTGGAGTAAAGAGAGCGCAGGTCTAAAACGCTACGTATTTTGTTTTTCTCTCTTAGTTAAAATTTTACATTTTACATATACTGTACAGGTATACTGTATACATAAATATTACATAAATTATTTCTGCAATTGTTCACAAACAAAACACATAAATCAATTGAACATGTGATGTCAAACGTGAACTGTAAACACTGCATAACCCCGCGCCAAGCCACAGCACTGTACATACTGTACAGTACACTTTAAACGCT